TCGGGATGGGTGTGTCAGAGGCGGTACGGTTGGCGCAGGATAGAGCAGGGTTTAGGGCTGTTGTGCATAGGGTCGCTATGAGTCGGAAACGACTTGACGGCACATAACAACAACAACAACTGGCAATCTAATATCAATCGTTTTCAAAATAGATGCCAAATCAATTCATTGCTGTCAAGGTTTTCAAAAGCTAAAAATCTAGGGGAGGAGATTGTCCATCTTTCTCCCTCCGAGTCTTTTAAAAAGGTGCTGCCTTTGTGTTAACAGCCCAACTCTCTACATACTCTGCCACACACACACACACAAAAAGATAAAATCTCCCAAAATCTAAATCTTGCACTGATGTAGCTTTGTGGGATAAAGATGGACAATCTCCTCCTGTGTGTTTTTTTTAAATCTACTTCTTTCCTTCTCATACATGCTAGACTCCAAGATTGATTCTCTCTGTGTAAACCTTTACTTAGCTTTTTATATAAATGGTGTTCTTCTGTAATTTTCCTTTTGTGACTGACTTTGCATAATGTCACTTAACATAATTTGTTCTAGATTCATTCACGTTGTGCAGTATTTCACAAATTCTTGCTCATTTGTTAATGATACATTCTTTGAATAAGTGTACTACAGTTTCTTTAGACATTTGTCCACCTGATAGGCATTTGACTTGCTTCCAGCTCTTTGCTATTATAAATAATGCTGCAGTAAACATAGTGTATGTCAGTGCGTACTGAAGCTCTTAGTTCTCTGAGATATAGATAATAGAGAGATTTGGATAGAGATAGATATTGAGAGAGTTGGGAGAGAGAGAGAGAGAGACTGACTTAGTGGGATTGCTAGATCAAATGGTACTTCTATTCTCAGCTTTCTCAGGAAGTTCAAGTCTACTTTCCATAGTAGTTGTACCACTTTAATTCCACTGACAGTATATAAGAGTTCTAACCTCTCCACTCCCCATCAGAATTTGTTTTTGCTATCTTACTGAGCATTGCTATTTTTCATGAGGTGAGATTGCACATCATTTTTGTTTTTAATTGCATCTCTCTAATATCTAAGGCCAGCTGTTCCATGGATGTTGTTGTTATTGTATGTGACATCACTTGCAACTCATAGCAACCCTATGTACAATATCTCAGAACCCTGCCTTATCCTGAGCCAATCTCATTGTCTCTGCCATACCACCGTCACTGTATCAATCCATTTCATCCAGGGTCTTCCTTTCTTACACCACCTCTCCATCCTCCCTTGCATAATAAGGATGGGCAGTTTCTTTCATGTAATTTTTTGTTCTTGAGTCAAACATGACTCATAGAAACTCTATGAATAAAAGGCCTGAAGCCTTTCTATAACTATCGTCATTTATCATAGAGTTTCCAGAGGCATGTTATTTAGGAAGTGGATGCCACTCCTGCTGCCCCTGAAAACTCCTTGGAGAGTCAGCTATGAGTAGGTTCTAACTCAACAACTCCCAACAAGAACAATATCTAGTTCTTATCTAATAGAAGAATAAACAAATCTTCCTTGGACGAAGTGTACTCAAAGTGCTCCTTCAAGCAAAAATATTCATCTCATATACTTTGTTCATGTTGTCAGGAAGGGCCAAACCTTCAAAAATGAGATTATGCTTCAGAAAAAGTTAAAAGGTCGAGGAAAGAATTGTTGGTGTTGTAGTTGTTGTTGTGTGCCGTCGAGTCGCATAGCGACCCTATGTACAGCAGCTCTAAACGCTGCTCTGTCCTCTGCCATTCTCATTGTCTCCGACACACTCATCCCAATTGCCCCAGTCACCAAATCAATCCACCTCCCAGAGGGCCTTCCCCTCCTGCGCCTGCCCTCCACCCTCCGAAGCATGATGTCCTTCTACAAGGACCGGTCTCTCCTTACAACATGACCAAAGTATGTCAGATGAAGTCTCAGAATCTTTGCCTCCAAGGAGCAGCCCTGTTTAACCCTCTCCAAGATGAATCTTTGTTTTCTTAGCAGTCCATGGTACCCTCAGCTCTCTTCTCCAACACCAAAGCTCAAAAGCATCAATTCTCCTTCTATCCTCCCTGGTCATTGTCCAGCTCTCTGACACATAACAATTGATTGCAAAGACCATGGCCTGTACCAGACGCCTGTACCAGTCTCCAGAGACACACCGTTGCTTTTCAGTACTTTGGAGAGGTCCCTAATAGCAGACTTTCCCATGGCAATATGTCTTTTAATTTCCTGGCTGCTGGTGCCAAGAGTGTTGATTGTAGAGCCAAGCAGACTAAAGTTGTGAACAATTTCAATCTCTTTACCATCCATTCTGATGTTGCCAATTGGTCCAGTGATGAGAATCTTTGTCTTCTTGACATTGAGCCTCAATCCATATTGAAGGCTGCAGTCCCTGACCCTCAGCAGCAAGCGCTTCAGGTCC